GATCGATAGAGTCTGTAAGGTTATTTACAAATATAGATAGCAAAACTGCAACCTGCATTTCACAAGCAACTTATGAGCAGGTAAAGTTTGTAATGGTGCAGTAGGGTGGAGGCTTGGTGGTGAGCTGTGAAGGATAATCAAGGAATGGCTTTCAATCGAGTCGTGGTGGTTCAGTGGTAAGGTTCTCGCTTCGCAGGCACGGCATGCTGGTTCGGATCCCGGAAGTGTCGGATGTTTTTGCACCATTGGTTTTTACCTGATTTTTTGACTTGCGTACGGACTGACACCTGGACATCACTTGATTCACGTTCTTGGCGTATATTAACTGCGGAACTTTCTGTGCGTGATGTACTTCATTCAAAACATTGAAAAATCCAGTTGACTTTGCAAAAAACCTGGTAGACCGTTACTCATGCTTCAACACTGATGAAACAATTCAAAAAATGAGTGAAGCAGATGTGCTGCTCGCACACTGCGCATCTAATGGATGCTGTTTCTCTACAATCGTTGACGAAACAGTCAGACGTTTCAAGGTTGAACAAGTAGTCACCAGGAGTGTCAAAAGCTCCTGGGTGATGATCAATGTAACCTGCTTTGTACCACGAGTATTTCAGAAAATTAGAGAATCTCGGGGCACAAAACATCCGGTACACTTGCGATAACACCTTCAGTATGTTGTCTCTGTGGGTCATGTTGAACGCCACATTATTCACCATCGCCGAGGTCCTAATCCGTTTCATAACATTTTTCATGGGGCCAAAAAAGAACACATCCAGAGGTTGTATGAGCGACGTAGCGCCGGCTGGGATATTGTGAACGGTCAACTTGCAGCCTGTAATGATAAAGATTTGACCGACGCCCTGAAGCAACATTGCACTATGCCACCCACCTTCAGGTGCGGCTTCCTCCATGGTGTTGATATCACGGAAGGGCGACCAGGAGTCCACAATAAGGTGAATTTCCGGGGTACCGCTGGCGTTGCATAGACACGTTCTGATCCAATCGACCATAAGCTCCTTCGTCATAATATGCGTAGTATTCGCTCTAACCACAAGGTTAGCCTGCCTCAAAGTGCCCATGGCGCGGAAACGCTCCTCCCTTCTCCTGCAGGACTACATACAGTTTCTCTCCTAGTCTGCCGTCAGCATAAAGAAGTGGAAGGACAGTGTAGGAGTGCGTCATAGCCGCCCTGTTCTCAACGATCCGTTCAATCTAAAGATTGGTGTGGTCAACTGTGTGTATAGATGGTGTCCTCATCAGAAAAAGCTCGTCTTCTTAACTCCCACGGGTGCCAGTGACCTCGCTGTTGTCATCTCCTTGACAAAGCCCGACTGGTCGCCGTTGCAAAAGCAAGCCAGTGTCCTGCTTGCCATTTCCCTTCTGACGACGCTTACGAACTGCGCTGCCTCGAGCTCGATCTCCTCACGGCTTCTATGGTTCCTTCTCGTGACGAACGCCGTTATCTTCCTCGAAACGATACCATATCGCCGTTTGAAAGCTTTTATCCAGGTTCGACTTGCTTTGAAACCTTCAATTTGATTTCGCCGGCACAAGTCAATCGCCATGTAACGAAGGTTTTCGTCATGTAGGGTGATGCCTCAAATTTGCAGGTTTATAAGAAAAACAAAACTGCAAAGAACAAAACAGCAAAGTTTAAGCTGATCTACCTGCTGCCAATTTATCTTTAACTTCTTTGTGGAGCAGTTCCCCCACCCATCTCAACTGCAGTGACCTTCGCATTCTCATTTCCTTCGCCTCCTCCTGCTCACTTTCGATCCTTCGCAACTTTCTCAAGTGGTTGTCGTCTTTCGATCCACCGGAATCTTGCACTCATGCTCGACAACGGACGACATCCTCTTGAGGAGCTTCTATAGTGCTGGATAGCATTCGTGACCTAACCATGAAAAGCTGTCACTAGTTTGCACACAGTATACACAAAAGGAAAGGCGCAGATATACCTGCTCGGTAGTCACCGCTGATTCACCGAAATAAACCACACTTCCACTTTGACCATCAGCACTGTTCGAGCAGCCTTCGTCATCGTAGTGGTCCCAGTCAGATTCAATTGAGGCATCGGAATCCAGGCTTTCATCAGTCTCTGCATCAATTGTCCCTTCGATACCATCACGGAGTATTGCAGCAAATCTTGCGGCAATTTTCCTCTCCTCTCGAGTAGCAGCAGCGTTGTCCTTTGGCGAACCGAATTCTGCCAGGAGAATGGAGACTACCTTCGCTGGAGAGAATGGCATGGTAAATGATCATAATAATGATCAATGCCACGCGTGCCATGGCGGTAGAACGCAGTGACTTGATGATCCTATCCCAGGTTTTGTTCCACCAAAGTCAACTTGAATTTTTCACAATGTTTTGAATAAAGTACATCACGCACAGAAAGTTCCGCACTTAATATACGCCAAGAACGTGAATCAAGTGATGTCCAGGTGTCAGTCCGTACGCAAGTCAAAAAATCAGGTAAAAACCAATGGTGCAAAAACACCCGTGCACCCTCCGGGAATCCGAACCCAGCATGCTGTGCCTAGCGAAGCGAAGGAAACCTCACCACTGAACCACCACACGATCTCGTTAATGCGAGTGGCATTGCCTCCTCACCAAGTCTCCACCCTAGTGCACCATTACAAACTTTACCTGCTCATAAGTTGCTTGTGAAATGCAGGTTGCAGTTTTGCTATCTATATTTGTTAATAACCTTATAGACTCTATCGATCTACCCAGGTCTCCATTCAAAGTTCCATGGTAAGTTGGCGGACTTCCCTGGTAAGCACCGAAATATTCGAAGGAAGTATTAGTAACAATTTAAAATTTTTTGCAAGAACTTTTGGATTCTTTTGAGTCTTTTGAGTTTTTTGCAATAAATTTTTGGCGCCTCTTTACGTGTTTCATGTTCGAATCTTAGAGGCATTGAGGCCAAGCCACTTGTGCAAGGAGAAGCTTAGGATTTGGTTGTACGTGGGGACCGTCTTCGAGGAACACGAACTATTACCGCGATTTGTTTATTGTAGCGCTGATTAGGCCGCGCAGCCCTTCATGTGGCCAAACATGACGATGTCTTTCTCGGTATGCTTACCCTTTTCTATTCGCTACCCTCACAGACCACTATGGGAAGAGTACAATGATTACACAGAGCAAGATTACCAGCCACGGGAACTGGCTGCAGGATAGTGATACTCGGTGCCGTTTCCATAGGTTATGGCGTTTCCTGCGCCTAACCATGGGCAAACGCACTATTTGCCTGTGTCCTCTCACTATTTGTTGCTCTCTAGCTCTGACGTGTTCGTTGCGGCACTTTGATATCGACGCAAGTGTTGCACACTGAGGACATCGTAGGCGGAGTATGGAGGCGGTACTCGGGTACCACCTACCCTATAGCCTCGTGCACTTCTGAGCTGACAAAATGATACGCTATCGCAGCTGCGGACCCATTCACTCCGCCATAAAAGGACGGTAACCGAAGTATGTGTGTGTAATTTGACTTTGAGCTGCTTATCTAGCCCATATACTTAATGTGGCAGATTAGCACCGACTTCCATGTTCGTGCTTACCTCACGTTTGAGCAACTTGTTCATGTCCGGCTTTCCAAGGAAATGATAAACTCCTACACCAGCGCCTTCAAGCGTGATTCCACGAATGAAAAGAGCGATAATTATCAAGTAGGGAGCCGTAGAAGTCAACTGCATAACATTAACTTCAAAATCTTTGATGACGTTTAGTGGAATGAAAAGGTGGTTTGCAACTTACATATCCGATTTTTCCAATATATTTGTAACCTTCAATCAGCACTAAGAATACGATGAAGTTCAACACAAGTAAAGCAAAGAAAACACTCCAGTTAATGGCGCCCACGTCCTCAATTCCCGACGACCGTTTGCTGACAACGTTTCTAAACGTTTGATAGTGAATCCAAAACAATGAAATGGTTGCAAGATGGCAACGCAAAATGTTTAGTTTGTCCTGACAGCCTGTTGCCAGGTATTCTTGAAGGGACGGTGGGAATTAATACAACTGAGGCGCACATGCTTCGGGATCTAGCAGTTATATTAGCTACTAGGCTTCGCATGTCGCACGATAGTGATGTTGAATCACTTGGTGCGAAATGTCGCGTGCATAATACCATTTACAACATGTCATTAAGACCTTACACGATAGCAAGGTTCATCGAAAGTTGATCATCATGGTTGCTCATTTAGCAATACTTCGCCGTAGCTTCGACGCAAGGCAATGAAGAAATGTGCCTTCTTCATTGGCACTTCCTCATTGTCAGAGCGATCTCACCAGCATGTGGAGTCGCAGCGAGTGGATATGAATAACATACGTGTAAAGTCAGCCAGCAATTTCTGAGGCCAGCCCCCAAGGTTTCGTTTACGAATTGTCTGCCTCTTGCATTGAGTGTTATTACCATTGAGTACCCTCCATAACTGGTATCGCACAGCGGACGGCACTGGTCACCGAAACAGGCAATATAAAGCGCATCCAGTCTGCAGTCCAGTCCAGATCTGCTTCCACAATGGAAGGTGCTGTCCTGTCCATGTGTACCAAGACCAGGAGCTTCAGTAGTGGCACAGGGTAATGCCAGAGCTACGGTGGACGGAGAAGAGCCGCCAAGTCGATACTTCTTATGGTTAGATGTGGATCTACTTCGAAATATGTGTTCGCTGTCGCTCTTCTGCTGTCACGTAGTTCAGCCAGGTCGATCCGCAATGGAAAGTGATGACAATGCTGTTGATTTTGGACCTCACTCGCACAAGATGAAAGGTAGAGCGTGAGGTAGAGACATAGCACCTCCAAAAGCATTATCCAGGAGGACAACAGTGGCAGATTATGAGGTAATCTGCATAAAAAGGTTATCTGAAGTATTGGGCAAACAGATCAACCGAATAGATTACTAAAACTCAACCTACAATATGTTCCAGGAACTACTGGACAACCTTATTATGGAATAATTGCCTATTGCATTCCACGTAGAAAGAGTTATCACAATTATAATCACCCTCGATTGACACCGCAACATCAGTAGCTAGGAGCCAATTTCCCATAGCGTTTCCCTTATCATATCCCCGACGTAAACCGTAAGCGATGGACACACCGGTACACCAAGTTAGTGATTGGATTGCTAACAAAGAGATGCTGCTCACACGAAATACTGCGAAAGCGGCGAATCCATGTCCTTGACACTATCTTTCTTTATGCATGTTCCATTGAAGTGTACCGGCCGTGAACTATTTAGCAACATACACTGAGCATTACGGAACTCGTCCAAACAGTCTGAAAGCCGTTTGATTTGCAAAGTTCTCTTGTGCAGCGACAATTCATACCAATTCAATTATATTTGCGATGGGACTGATTTAATAGCAATGTTTTAGAGGAAGACCGACGGCTAGGTCATGCCACAAGGCATGCAATTTCGCCACTCGTCGCGTGCATCCTTAGGCTGCGTTCATACTTTGCGGCAGCGTCCACCAGCAACCAATAGCGTCCACCAGCGTTCCGAGCGTCCGGCAGCGTCAGCGACTAGGAAAGTATAGATATCGATCTAGCGTC